GTTGTACGCTCTGGCTTCTGCCTCTTCCTTACCATCGCTCTACAACACTGGCGACGAGGATGGGATCCGGTCGAAGGCTAACCAGATGCGTCTGCTTCAAAGAGCTGTAGTCACTGAGGGCGAAGCCACGAGCGCTGAAGCCGCAGCCGCCAATGCTCACAAAGAGCGCGAAATTCAAAAACCGCCATTGCTTTGAGCTGTACTCACTGAAGCGAGTCACGGGCACTGTAGCCGCAGCCACCGGCGCTCACAAAGAGCGCGAAATTCAAAAAGAGCTCCGTAACCTAGAGAGACAGTCACAGCCTGCGCTCTTTTAAGAGCGCGAGTCCAAAAGACGACTGAAGAAGACGAACCCTGCATTTTTACAATGAATGCTAATCCAGCATTCCCACCATTCAAGCCAAACGAGGAAACGTGGGACTCCTACAAAAATCGTTTCAGCCATTTCCTCGATGCCATCAGGTTAGCTGACGCTGCTGAACATAGGAAGAAGTCCTATTTCCTCAGCTATTGTGGGGCTGCAGTTTTTGACACCGCTACAGCGTTAGTCGCCCCACGCGCTATCAGAAGCGTCCCATGGGATGAACTACAAGAAATCCTCTCCAACCACTACTCGCCAAAACCATCCCAGATAGCCAGGAGGTATGCCTTCAGAATTAGAAAACAGGCAGAGGGGGAGTCAATCAACGAGTATATGGCAGCCCTGAGGACAGTTGCCTTGCAGTGCGGGTTCAAAGACTATTTAGAAGACATGCTGTTGGACCAGATCGTCTGTGGGGTTAGAGACCTGAGACTCCAAAGACGTTTGCTGGCAAAAAAGGACTTGAATCTATCCCTAGCCATGGAGGAAGCCCTAGCTGCTGAGCTCTCTGCCCAATCAGCAGCCGAGATTCAAGGCACTCCATTAAAGCCCAGCAGTTCCACCATCCATTCAGAAGAAGTGCTCAGGGAAGAAGACCCCACAGACTCATCAGACATTAACCGCCTTAAGCATCAGAAGCCTTCACGGGTAGGAACGGGACAGAGAAACAACTTCGCCCCCAAACAACCTCCCATTTGCCTAACCTGCAGAGGCTCCCACTCTAGGGCGTCCTGCAGGTTTAGAAACGCCATCTGCCTGAATTGCCAAAAGAAGGGTCACCTTGCTAGAGTCTGCCAAGCAGGGCACACTTTGCCTCAAAGACCTCCACCGCCTTCTAGTTCCCAAAGGCAGGTGGAGGACTGCTGTACCTGCTACCACGCTAACCATACTTCCCAGACCCCTGATAAAATCAAAATTTCTGTTTTCCTAGAAGGTAAACCCTGCAGGATGGAGGTAGACACGGGATCTGCGCTCTCAATCATCTCCTGGGAAATCCTGAAGAAGATCCAGCCCAGGCTGTCAAAGAAGCAGCTACAAAGATGCCACCTGTCACTGCGGGACTACCAGGGCAAGAACATCCCTGTCCTCGGGAAAGGCAAGTTTTTCATTCAATTCCAAGCCTTTAAAGGCCATTTGCCTTTAGTGGTTGTTAATGGTGCCCTCCCCAGCCTGTTGGGGCTAGATTGGTTTCCCTCCCTCGGCCTTAGTGTAACTGGGATCCATGCTGTCTCAATTTCTGACGTAGATGCATTATTTTCAGATTATTCTGATGTGTTTAGCAGCGAGCTGGGTTGCTATTCTGGCACCCCCATCTCTTTCTCTGTAGACCCCCAGGCAATCCCTCTTCGCCTAAAGCCACGCAGGGTGCCTTTCGCCATCCGTCCCAAATTGGACGCAGAATTAGATAAGCTACTTAAGCAAGGGGTGTTAGAACCTACTGATTTTGCCAAATGGGAGACCCCCATAGTCACCCCACTCAAGAAGTATGGCAGTTTAAGAATCTGCGCAGACTACAAAACCACCCTCAACCGTTACCTACAGGTCAGCGCATACCCTGTCCCTGTTATTCAGCACCTGTTACACACCTTCGAACCCGGCACCATTTTCGCCAAGTTAGATATGTCCCAGGCATACCAACAGTTCCCTGTTGATGATCAGACAGCTGAATTACAAACCATAGTCACTCATAGAGGGGCATTCAAATGTAAACGCCTCCAATTCGGTGTAAGTGTGGCCCCGGGTATATTCCAATCACTCATGGAAAGGATTCTCCAAGGTCTCCCAGGGGTTGTTCCTTATTTCGATGACATCTTAGTCTCAGCTATTGACAGACCTCAACTCATACAGAGGGTCAGGGCAGTTCTAGAGAAGTTTAGGCAGCATGGCCTCAAGCTTAAAAGGGAGAAGTGCGCCATCGCCACTAGGCAAGTGGACTTTCTGGGTTATAGGATAGACGCCTCTGGCATCCACCCAATTGAGTCCAAGGTAAAGGCCATTCATGAGGCACCCACACCAACTAACAAGACAGAGCTCCAAGCTTTTCTGAGGCTACTAAACTTTTACGCCTCATTTCTCCCGCACAAAGCATCTGTCGCTGAACCCTTACATAGACTGTTAGATAAAGACTCACCCGGGCATTGGGGACCCAAAGAAGCCCATGCTTTCAAGTCAGTCAAATCCTTACTCACATCGGAGGCAGTCTTAATTCAGTTTGATCAACGACTCCCCCTGGTCCTAGCTGCTGACGCATCCCCTTTTGGGATTGGGGCTGTCCTAAGCCACAGACTTCCCAACGGCTCCGAGGCACCAATTGCCTTCTTCTCTAGGACCTTCTCTATGGCAGAAAGGAACTACAGTCAAATAGATAAAGAGGCCCTGGCTGCGGTTGCTGCAGTTAAAAAGTTCCATGAATTTTTGTTTGGGCACCATTTTGAACTGGTAACTGACCATAAACCTCTCCTGGGACTCTTATCTGGAGATAAGCAAACCCCGCAGGTACTTTCACCCAGAATGACCAGATGGACTTTGTTTCTGGCTGCTTACTCATTCAAGTTGGTGCATTGACCTGGCAAGAACTTGAGTCACGCCGATGCCCTTAGTCGCTGCCCCCTACCAGTCCCAGTCGAAGACCCAGCACCGATTCACGCCATCTTTGAGGTCAACGAACTTAAACTGCCAGTGACAGCTGAGGACATTGCTGCGCACTCAAAAAAAGACAAGATAATTGCCCAGGTTCTGGACTGGGTGGGAAGGGGGTGGCCGGAAACTCAATGTACAGTTGACTTTGCTCCTTTTAAAACCCGTCAGCAGGAACTGTCGAAGCTACAGGGATGTCTATTATGGGGTACAAGAGTAGTCATTCCAGCCACCCTTCGTGTACCCATCCTGAAGGTGCTTCACGAGGGCCACCCGGGCATCGTAAGGATGAAGGCTTTGGCCCGCAGCTACGTTTGGTGGCCCGGCATGGATGCCCAAATCGCCAGCTGGGTAAGCTCATGCCAACCTTGCCAAGAAACCAGGGCTGCCCCACCAGCTGCCACGCCCACCAAGTGGGAAAGTGCTAGTGCCCCTTGGTCTCGCCTGCACATCGACCTGGCGGGACCGGTGCATGGCAGGACCTTCTTGGTGGTCGTGGACTCCTACTCCAAGTGGATAGACTTGGCCCTGCTTCCCACGACCACCACCCAAGCAATAGTTAAAGCCCTGACCCGTTTATTTGCCACCCATGGACTCCCTGACACGCTGGTGTCTGACAATGGCCCGCAGTGCACATCATGTGAGTTCAGTATGTACGTTGCTAACTTGGGCATCAGACACATCCTTACAGCTCCCTTTCACCCCGCTAGCAACGGGATGGCTGAGAGGGCAGTCAGGTCAGCCAAGGAGGCACTCTCCAGGTTTGGCCAGGAAAACCGGCACTCTAAACTGTCTCGTTACCTTCTCAGCCAACATACGACGCCTTGCACCACTACTAACAAATCCCCTGCCAAACTCTTGATGGGGAGACGCCTTAGGACCACCCTGGACAGGTTATACCCCCACTACTGCCCAGACACCCCTTTAGAGTCTGACAGTCTGGTCAGAGACTTTGCCTTGCATGACCTGGTGTACGCCAGGAACTATGCGGGGGATCCTTTGTGGGTACCAGGTCAAGTCGTGTCAGTCACAGGTCCAAGATCCTACAGGGTCCTCCTGGAAGATGGACGCTTGTGGCGGAGACACGTGGACCAACTCAGAAGGCGACGGAGAAGTGCGGCCGATACCGACCCAACCCAACCTGCCAGTGCCAAAGTCTCCCTGCCGGTGCCAGACGGAAGCTCCCTGTGGGACTCGGCCTTCCCCGTCGATCAGGAGAGTTTGCTGGAGGACCCGAGTTTCCGGCTAGAATCACCGAACCAACAGCCGAGCGAGCCAGTTTGCCAACCAGACCTAGCGACTCGCCCAGGTCAGCCCGAACAGGGGGAATCACCGAACGCTCAGAACACTACGCCAGGTCAAGCTCATGCCCCA